TGACTTTTTTGGTAAGTGTTTCACGGCGCTCGCAACTGCATGAGGTCGTATGAACGTGTGGGACATATTAAACCTTTTCAGTTGGTAGGAGATTTTGAATTTTGCCCGAATTTTGGCTGCCGAAGCTTACCCTTATCGATTTTGGACCACCAATGGATCTTTAACGTGCGCAACTTGCACACGGGATCTCTGAGTTTTTCGCCCTTGTCCGAGAAGTCTTTGTGTACATTTTTCCTACCATAAGACCAGGGGTGTGGCTGAAAGACAGCAGTAAGAAGGAGCCAGGGAGTAGCAATAGAAAGGCTGCAGAAAGAGTCAAGAGCCCAGAGGAGGGGGCAAAGGAGGTGAGGGGTGGGGGCAGAAAGTGGAGGCGAAAGCAGACGACAGAATGTTGATAGAGAGCAGGAAAGGAGGCGAAATGAGACATAGAAGAAAATTGTTCGTTTCTATCCGGATTCGAACCCGGTATCTAAGGTGGACACCTTAACTTCTAGACCACGAGAGCCCCCTCCTTTGACTTTGTATCACAACTCCCCCCCTCTCTCTCTCTCTCTCTCTCTCTCTCTCTCTCTCTATCCCCCCATCTCTCTTTCTTTCTAAGCATGTGGTTGTGTGTTTGTGTACTTTTATTGTGTGTGTGTGCGTATTTCTTTGAGTTCGTCTGTCTGTCTGTCCCCCCTCTCTTTCTGTCTTTCTCCAGCACAACAACAGTTAATATCCAAATAAAAGACAATCAAATTATATCTCACAGTCGCCGAAATGTTAAATTTAAGGAGTATGTTGAGAACAACAGTGGTAAACAGTTTTCACCAACCCTTAAAATAGAACCAAAACCTTTCTTGCTCTGGTCAACAAACTGTTGACCCGGTTCAGGCGGTTCTCAAAAGCACAGAACGTAATAAAAGCTCCACAAAATGCAATGGTCCTTGTACCAGGCTGAAAAAGGAAACGGGTAAACCCAAACCTAGGGTTCTCCATCGACCAATTAAAGCCAGCGATAAAATTAGAACACTGTTCCGCTTCCCTGGTGTATATATAAGAGCAGGAGGACGACTGGTTAAGCACACTTGCCATTGAATGAGAACCGAAAAGAAAGAAGTAAAAGCCGTATTTTAGATATCTTCTGTCGGAGAGGAATTGCAATCAAGAGCACACGAAAAAAATCCAGAATCGGTAAGTGAGAAATATATCATAGGCCCTACTTAGGCCTATAGATTATAATTATATTTGTCATGAAAGTGTTTACCGGTACTTTGTTTGATGCCAATATTGTATTTGGGAGTTTGGGGTGGTACAGCTCGAGCTTGCCAGCAATAGTATATAGCGGAGCCGTAGTATACAGTGGCTGCTACAATTAATATATATATATACTGTTTTCTATTAAGGATCTTTAGAAAGGCAAAAACTCTGCCATATATGTCGCCGTTTAACACCATTAAAGTAAGACTTCAGAATGCTTCTAGGTTTAATTGTCTTGTGATTTGAGCGCTGAATAGTCTACCAACGTGACGTCAATATATAGAGTTGAATATCGACAACGGGCTTCTACCAATGATCTTTGCTTCTACTAAGAAGATAGCTTGGACAACGCTAGTAGTCGTACCAACATATTATTATTATTTTATTTAACCCTGTGCCGTTAACTGCGAGTATTCTACTAGGTGTACTCGAAACATATTATTTTTCCCCTCGGTCGGCCCCTAGTCTAACGCTTATTAAGCCCCTTTTCATTTCGTGACACGAAATACGAAGAAATGAAAGTCGACCTCGGCGGCGGTAAGGGTTAATTCCTGGCGGGCTTGCAATTTCATAGAACACATGAGGCAACAAAGCAACATATCGACAAAATAGACTTAGCCCTGCCCCACTAACGGGAGGAAGAACATTTTATTCGTTCATCAATTTAATTAGATCTAGAATCTAGATCTATCTAGATCTATGGCATAAATTGTGTTTAGACTTTATGATTTAGGGCGTGTCTGCTGAACATCGAATAGGCCTACTAGATCTAGATCTAGATCTAGATCTAGATACCGGTATCTAAATCTAGATCTAATCTAGATCTAGATCTAGTGGTATTACTGAAACATTTTTTTGCCACTGATATTAATTTACTAGCCCGAAATTAATTTTTCTTGTCATGCATGACAAATAGGACGTTGTGAAAATATTCGTCTTCGTAACAATAAACGAAGACGCAAAAGTGAGTCTCTGACTGGGAATTCCCGATTCTTTTTCTAGTAGGCTGCCGACCAAGCATAAAACGAAATGGCCAATCAGCGTTCATGATTCGCCACTCGTGATTCATTTCTCTTCTCGAATGCGCTGGAAAATCCCACCACCACCACCCACGCTGTTCAGGTTCTCGAGAGTTATTATTGGTCTTCCGCTCCTCTTTAAATTTTTACTTCTTCTATTTTTCAAGTGAGAGCAAGGTATTCCAAGCTTTTATGTTTTATTTTTATGACAATTCAAGTTCAAGTTGTCATTCGAACTGTTATTACTACCGACCGTATCTCCTTTTCTTCCATTAATGAAATTCCCAACATGTGCAATTACACTTAAAAGCGCAGTGAGATGGGGTACACGAGTACTAATTTAATAATAGCACCTTATACAGTGTGCCCATAGGCGGGTCGGGCCGATCGCCAGACTCGGTCGCATGAAAACTGGCGACGGCCCGACCCGCCGATCTCATTATCCGTAACGGGCGCACCCCGTATTAAATCCCTTAATCTCCCTCAATTTTACTGATGTTTTATAATCCTCAATATAAGCTAATAGCAAGTTCGGTACTTTTGTTTATATAATTTATATATAAAACTCACACATCCACGTTTTTATACTGTACAATTAAATAAAATTATAATCTGTCACTCTCAGCATGATGACGACAGACAGTGGTAATCCCAAAAACTTCTAAATCAACGCAAATGTAATGCATTTGTTCCCATATTTCACGCACAAACACAAACATCCGCCCTGCACTTCTTTCGCCTCTCACAACACGCATTTATAGTGTTACTACAATTTAGTAACACGTTACTTCAAAATTTCTCTGTGAAATTCAAATTCTTAATCCCGTGTTCTGTTTGCTTTATTCCTCAGAGTAAAATGGCCCCGAAAAACACCATGCATCTTCTGCCCCACACAATAATTGGTTGCTCCATCCAAGACAACAACCCCAAGGAGCAACTCATGCATCACTGTGATAAAAGGGACCAGTCCAGGGGGATTTCAGACCTATCAGACATGAGCTTCACCAGGAAAAAAGAATTCAGCTCTCCAGATTCTCCACCTTGCTGCACCGGCACACAGATGAAGGAATCACCAACAGACAGCTCGGAGCTGTCAGGTGCTTCTCCCGCACTGTCTGGGATCCCGTCAATATTGAAAGGGCTGGCAGAAGAACAGCTGCAGCAGGAGGTCCCCCCCAGCTCAACAGTTAGTCAGGGGGCAAGGCCAAAAACTGCTCAACGAGTCACGTGGTCCTCACAACTTGTGTCTACCAGCAGTTCAGAAGTACTTGAAAGGCATAAAGACAAACTGATGGCAGTAGCGTGTGAAGCTTTCTTTTGGAGTTCTCCAACTGCGGAAGCTGTTAGAACTATGATTCCTTGTACAGTCAACGAACCAGAGCATTTGTTGAAGTTAGCAACAAAACTGTACAGGGTAGAACATAAGGCATACCCAAAAGCAAAAGACCTTTTGAATGTTTTGTATGACTGTGAATTTCAAGAAGAAAACATCGTGACGAGGTTTATTGGCATCTATAATGAGAGGGATGATTCTGAATTTAATGATGACTGTGAAACTTTAGAAAAGAAAAATGAAAGAGACTTTTGTGACACCCCTCACGAACCCAAGTCGGCTCATTCTGATACCAACGTCTCCTCTTCAAATCACCCACAGAGTGAAAGGAATACCGAGGATCAGGAAACTCTTCCCACACCAGCTGAGAACACACATGCTGAAGATGCTGGAGTCATTTCCGAAGGTGATACACAGCCGGATGAGGGGTGCCTTGGAGCTGCAGGACAAAAACACTCAGAACCTAAATGCATGACTGAAGCTCAGGAGCAGTCTTGTCTGGCTCGTGTAGTCAGGCGAGAACATGAACTCTTAGTGAAATCAACAAAATGTGTCTCTTGTAAGGTCAGACCTAAAGAGGTTATTTTTTTGCCATGTGGTCACTACTCCCTCTGCTCTGTTTGTTCTGACCAATTGTTTATTTGTCCAATATGCAAAAAAGAGGCATTGGCAGAAGTAAGGACCTTTCTTGGGTAAATATTATTCTGTATCAAGTTGAGTAGAAGTGACAGAGCTGGAAATAGTGTGACAGATTTTGTGCACATGAATTTTTTAAAAATGTTTGTAAATACTGTACAGTTTTTTTTTTTTTGGTAAATGTTTTACGGCGTTCGCAACTGTATAAGGTCATATGAGTGCGCGGGACACACCTAATACTTTTAGTTGGTAGGAAATTTTGAATTTTGCCCGGGTGGCGGCCAAAGCCTACTCTTATTGATTTTAGACCACCAAGGGATCTTTAACGCCTGCAACTTGCACACGGGCCCTCTGAGATTTTTTCGCCCTTGTCCGAGAAGGCTAGGTTTAGATCTTTCCTACCAGAAGATCAGGGGTGTGGCAGAAAGACAGCTGTAAGAAGGAGTCGAGGAGTAGCAGTAGAAAGGCTGCAGAAAGAGTCAGGAGCCCAGAGGAGGGGGCAAAGGAGGTGAGGGGGTGGGGGCAGAAAGAGGAGACGAAAGCAGACGACAGAATATTGCTAGAGAGCAGGAAAGGAGGTGAAAGGAGACAATTTCAGAGAAGAAAATTTTTCGGTCGATACCCGGATTCGAACCCGAGACCTTTGAATGAGAGGCCAACACCTTAACCTCAAGGCCACGAGAACCCCCCAGAGTGAAGTTGATTTTTGCTGAAGTCTAATATTTTATAATGATGAAATTATTTTTTTTTACAAATGTTGCTTGGTTACTATGAACGTAGTAATATACAGGACAATGTTCTGCCCTTCAAGCAAAAATAAACAACAACCATTTCAATACGTGTTGGAATCAAGATAATGTATTTTGCATCCAGACCCTCGTATGTAATAAAATCTTGAACTGATAATTCAAAACAAAGTGCCAGGCATAAATGGACGTACACACTGAGTCTATGACATTACTGACTGCTGGAAGTTGAACAATTTGTAAGTGTAGTGTCGGGTACCAGTTGTGATTGCTCTCACTAATGAATGGTGAGACATTTTGTGTAAAGACACGAGAAATTTTTGGAGCAATCACATTTACACTTACACATTATGCAATATGCAGTGCTACAGTTGAATAGGTACATGTGTACAACGCTCTTATATTATTCATCTACTTGTTTTGATGCTATAAATCACAATGGTGCTTATTCTTGAATATCTTACACTTATATATATATATATATATATATATATATATATAATATATATAATATGTTGTTCACAACTGACTGTGATAATTGAAAAAATAAAAGACATTAAAATGATCTCAAGGCTTTGTGTATTATCTTGGCTTATATGTTGTAATGCATTACTTTGATGACTCTTTTCAGTTTAAGAGTCTTTGTAATAAGGACTATATTTCCCTTTGTTGGAAAATGGCTGTAGTTGTAGAATAGCAATAATTTCATTCAGATGGAATTTTGCCTCCTTTTCAACACAGTATATCATACATAGAAAGCAAATCAATACCTATCATTTCAATAGCTAACTTAGGCATATATTGCCATGCCCACTATGACACTAAAGGGCATGACGTATCAGTTGGGGAAAGCAGTCGGGAGACTGCTACTCAACAGCACATACTAAAAGAGTTGTACTCTAAATGAATTGAAAAAAATCATTTCTCACAGTAAATATCATCGTTGTCACTAGCAATCCACTTCAGTCCAAATTTTAAGAATTTTCAATTATACACCTCCCAAAGCTCTATCAAAGATGCACCGTTCAACATCACTAAAATGCAGTTTATTACTATGGTCAAGGCCTATAACTTTCTTGCTTTTAATTTTTAATGAGTCCTGAGAGGAACAAAACAGAAATTTTTGTTTTTTGTCTCTGGTGTAAAAAGTATGCAAACGGACTTAAGTAAAATGCTTGCAACACCAACAATATGTGAAACTGCATAGTTTTAATGCCCATTTCAACACTGTTAGGTTATTTAAGAGGTGAGACCTGGGAATTTAACGTCCATCTCCACTTGGACTGAGCCAAATGGGAGGAGAGCCTTAAAATTTGCCCCAAACAACTAAAGCTCAGAACACTCTGTTGAGGATTCGAACCAGGGCCCTCCACTCCCTAGTCCAGCTTGATACCAAATGAGATAAAGGTGTATCCTTTCACAGTAAAGGCATTAATATAATTTGCAATGGTGCATAAGAGCATACCGCACAAACTCAATCAAAGGCTATAAGTTACTATAAGACATAGTTTTTGGTTGTTTCCGTGTGAATTACATAGCCAAATGGAAATTTAAAAGAATTCTTTATGTAGGTGTTTTTTTGCCCCCATCAACACAAATAAGACTCTTTAGGAGACTGGCTTTGACCCATCTTGTCAGGGCCAACAGGCGCGGAGAGGGATACAACATTCTATCAGAGAGACCTGAGATAATCAATAAAAAAAATTTTCCTCACTCAAGAATCAAACTCAGATTTCCTGTGCATGTAAGCAACAGCAAAGCACCCAATTCCTACACTACAGACACGTGTTTGGCTTAGTGAGTATCACTAGTATCAACACACAGATGTAAATTGGTGATCAGAATAACTTGGCTGACACATGTGATTCCATTCAGTTTCCATGACACTACCACAAATATTTCCATCTTTAATTCCCAAACGTTGATTATATGCACAGTGATTAAAAAAGAATATGCCCAAATCATCACACAATATTTCAAAAATGAAAAACAATAGAAAACTCCAGCTAGGACACATGTGTTGTACATACCTTTGAGTTTTAATTTCATATTTTACAAGTGCTCAAAGTGGCCACCACTGGCAGCATGGACAACATCAAGCCGATATGAGAATTCTTCCAAAATGCACATCAGAATGTCTCAGGCCACCATGTTGATTGTTGTTGTTTTTCGTTCTTTCATGCCATCGATATTTGTAGGAAGTGTTGGAACATAAACTTTGTCTTTAACATACCCCCACAAAAAAATCACACAGTGAGATCTGTGGATCTGGCAGGTCAACTGCAGAGAGCGAGGTCTTTAGCATATCTTCTACCAATCCACTGCTGAGGCACACTTTCATTCAGATGAGCTCGAACTCAAAGATGCCAATGGGGCGGTGTTCCATTTTGTCGAAACATGAAGTCATTTGAATCTGCCTTCAGTAAAGTGAATAGTCACTTTTTTGTGGAGGTATTTTAATTTTAAAGACAAGGTTTATATTCCACCACTTTCAGCAAATATCAATGACATGAAAGATGCAATCAACATGGTGCATTCACACATCCTAAGGCATGTTTAGGAGGAATTCCCAAATGGGCCTGATGATGTCCATGCTACCGGTGGTGGCCACACTGAGTACTTGTAAAACATGAAATAAAAACTTGAAGGTGCGTTAAACACATGTGTCCAAGCTGCAGTTTTCTATTGATTTTCGTTTATGAAATATCGTGTGATGATTTGGGCGTTTTCTTTTTGAATCACCCTGTATAATAATGTTTTAAAACTACCCATACAATAGCTCATCTTTACTCTTTACACCTCAGCATCTTTTTGAGGAAGGATCAAACAACTTTTATTCCAGAAAACACCTGTCGTCAATAAATAAATCTAACATTATTTCTCTAGTGCTACATGACTACATGGCTTTTCTTGGGAACTGAATTCACAGACCACTTGACCACAATAGTTCACAAAAGCTTATGTAGCAAGAGGCAGCTTGTATGGACTCATACCAATCAAACCCTTCAAACATGTCCGTAACATACATCGTTACGATAAATAATGAAGGTATAAAAAATTAACTGCAGTCTGTATGAAATAAATAAAAGAAATTGTATTAAAAAAGTGCATCATCCCAGGTAAAAAATGAAAGAAACACTGAAAAAGTCAATAGACTAGTGTTTTATTCATATTTTATGAGGGAACACATGGAGGAAAGTTTGTAAAAGATGCTTATGTCGGCACAATTATAGACACAGTTAAACTGGATTGGTAACAAATCTGTGTCTAGAAACGAAACATTTTTTTTACCCTCAAACTGAAAATGGTAGACTGACATAAGAGAGTCACAGGAGAGTCATTGATGGGAGCAGAACTGCTGGCGAGATCATCTGAATAGAGTTGAAAAGGGATTAAACTTCAATCAAATTCCTCATTTTCACAACAATGACATTTATCAAATTTAGATAAAATTAATTTATTTCTAAAATCCAGTAATTCAAAACATACACTTCTATTCATTCATATCAACTCCACATATCCTTGGCAATCTTAACGAGCGACTGCACCATTTCCTTGGAAGTAACACTGGCTTCATACTCCTTTCCAAGATCTGAACCCATACTGAGATCAGACTTTCTAAATTTCATAGTAGAAGGAAGCTTGCACCTTGCTGATCCATGGAACTCCTTTGCTCCGCAAGAAAGAATGTCCTTCAAATTGTTTTCTGTAATACCTCCACCTAAAAAGAGAATATGCAAAAGGTTAAAGTTTTTCCCTGAGATGGAACCCAATCTGAAAGAAAAAAATCCCCCCCCACCCTCCTCTCCAGCCAAAACACCAAAAGAGTTGTGGAAATTATCTTTAAAATATTTTCCAAGTTGTCACATAATATGCTATTTGCACAATTTATGTGAGGCAGCGGGGTGAAATCAGGCGCTCGTCAAAATAATGAAAGTCAAGAAACTGCTATTTTCCCGCATGTTTGGGAATTTTTATCTAATTTTTGTTTTTGGGTTCAACACCTTTCATGCCCATTAAAGAGCACATTTCTGTGTGGAATTTACTGAAAAACGTTGATGAAAGGCAGAAGGAATGTAAATTTTCAGTTTCCACGGAATCCCAAGCTACAGAAATAACTCAACTTTGGGAGGTCATTTTCTCGCTAATTTTACCTCTGAAACCAGATCACCCTCACCTTCTTCACTCACACATATCTCGACTTCTATTCAACATAGATGTATATTATTTTCCCCCAAAACAAGGAAAATGGACAGGCCTTAATATAATACCATCAACTCCGTATGCCCCAAAATTGACGAGAGCCTGATGCCACCCCGTCGTGCCACATATATCTTAGAACTTGCACACTGGCAGAGTTATTTTCAACAGATGAGAAAAAGTCCTGAGAAAAAGTGCAATGAAACACATAGATCAAATTGCAAAGTTTACTGCAAGTTTGCAGTTGTAGGGACAAAAGCCTAAAATGGTGCAAATAGATAATGCATAAAACTGATAAAATGGAAACAAACGTGCCCCCACTTTCATACATTTTTTGGGTGTTGTAATGATGTATATACTGTACAAAAAAAAAAAGAAAAGTGGAATTAATCTTCAATTTCATGAGAGTTACACCTCTCACATGAAGGTGAATTAATTAATTTCCACCAATAAAGATTGTTATTTGATGGAAGGCTATGAGCTGTGTAACACTGCTTCCAATGAATACTAAAGTTGGTCTTTGCTAGTGAAGGTTAAATAATCAAATCAATTTTTTTTCATAGTACTTCTTTTCCTTTGAAACTAAAATTCATAACTCATATAGGACAGCATAATAATATGTCTCAAATACAATGGCTTATCATCTTCATCTCAGCTGCCTTCCAATGCTAAACAAATGTACAGTAATTGATATAGAGCTCAAAGTGTATGGATTGAATTATCTAATTTAACGTATTCATACAAGGTATCTGATCCCATACAATCGGCGGATTCCAAGTAGTGTCCTTTTAGAAATGATTATAATAATATTGCTCCATTATTATTTTAATATTATTTCATTATTTTACTCATATCAATTCTATTGCTAGTATTATTGTTTTTTAATTTGATGTTATGACCGTGGACCGTGTTATTTATCTATTTATTTATTTATTTATTTTATTTATTAATTAATTTATTTATTATTTAATTGATGGTTGTTTTTAAAAAAATTATCATTAATACTGCCCTTAATCCATAGTTGTGTTATCGATAAAAATAGACGGTAACATAAATGATGACACTATAACGGGGGGGGGGGGGATGATGAGAAAGGGTGGTGGGAGGAGGCAATTACAGCGAATTATAGGCGATTTCCAGGTTGAGAACCATATATATGGGCTACATAACATAAAAGCAGAACCAATAAAAAATAGATATTATTAATCCGATATAGGAAAAAGAGGCTAAAACAGCACCTGGACATGGATGGCTGGTGCCTCAATAAATAAATCATTGATGGTCAGGTCAGGCAGGTATTGGTAGTTTTCTCTTCGATCTTTGGCCTGTAGTATGTACCCCAATGAACTCATTCTTTTACTTTTAGCTTTGGAAACCTTTCTACACATATTCAGCAAAGGTATTCTGAGCTGGTGATGGCCAAAGAAACTCAGATATTTCTATGAGTGTGCATTTGTATGTTTGAACTAGTGTGTGTATTTGTGTGTTTGTTTGTGAAAGAGCGTCTACAGCACGGGAGGTGGTGGGCGGGTGAATGCGAGTTGTCAGTGAGACACTGAGTGACAAATTAAGAGACAACTAAACTTCACTGAAGTCATTTGGAGCTTTTAGATCTTTCACCATGGTCCAAATTTGTTTGTCAAGAATAAAAATAGTCTAACACGCTCCTCAAAGCGAAATCGGCGGCATGTGGAATTCATTACATTATATACGAATTTCACTGTGCATATGCTTTGTTTTAATAGAGGTTTTACATCGCTCTCAACTGCATGAGGTCATATGAGCACCAAGGGGTGGATGTCAACAGAGAAGTCCTTACGGGGAATCAGGCTTAGTCTGCTCAACTCTCTAGCTTCAACAGCACAAAGTCTGCTTCGACTATCAAGGCACCCCGGAAAAAGCGGGTCACAAGAGTGAGACAAACATACAAAAGAAGTAGAGGAAAAATGACGATAGTAAGGATGAAGAAAGAAAAAGCAGCAGTTTCCTGTTGCAGTTAAGGCACAGTTATGAGCATGACATTCACGAATCAGCCCATTTACAATTACAATTCTACTGTGCATAAGAACATGGTTAATGTCCCCCCTTTGAGAATGGCCTAAAGACACTTCAGTCAGTAGCACCGCCCCAAGGGGTGAATCATACGTTCTAAGTACAAAGAATATATATATATATATGTAAGAAAAAAGTTTGGACCTGAAAATCTTTTTGTTATGAGCATGTTTTGCTACTTGCATGCTGGACTGTACATGTATTTGCAAACTTTGGTAACAACTGTATTTGTTCACAGTACACTCAGTTTGCAGCATCAAAAAGTGCACAGGGGGCTCTTGTAGTCTAGAGGTTAAGGTGTTCGCTTTTCATTCAGTACGTCCCAGGTTCGAATCTGGATAGCGAAGGAAAATTTTCTTCTCTAAAATTTTTTTTTCACATCTTTTCCTGCTGTTTTAATAATGTTCTGTCGTCTGCTTTCATCTCCATTTTCCGCTCCCACCCCTCTCCTCCTTTGTCCCCTCCTCTGGGCTCTTGACTCTTTCTGCAGCCTTTCTACTGCTACTCCTTGGCGCCTTCTTACTGCTGTCTTTCAGCCACACCCCTGATTTTATGGTAGGCAAGATCTGGTCCCATGTGCAAGTTGCGCACATTAAATATCCCTTGGTGGTCCAAAATCGATAAGAGTAGTCTTCGGCTGCCACATGGGTAAAATTAAAAATTTCCTACAAACTGAAAATGTTTAATGTGTCCTGCGTGCTCATATAACCTTATGCAGTATGCTCTTTAACCTCTACCATTTTATTTTCCTTCTCCTTCATCACTACTCTTCTGTCTCATTGGCTTTTTTTGCTTTACTACTCGTTCTTTCTATATATTTTCAGAACAGTACTCAGCAGAGTGAAGAAGGGGGTCTATCACAACCTTAAGGTCATCAAGTGTCCAATCCCTTACTCTATGCCCTATAACAAAATGGCTGAAGGACAGACTTTGAAAGACAAGATCTTTTGAGCATGAAATGATAAACCAGCACATGGAATTGTTTGTTTCACTCTTTATTGCCAAACCCAATATATCATGGACAGAGAGTTTGAGCACCAAGGTAAGTCTCTGTGTAGAGCAGTGTCATCATTAAAAACAAATTTAACGAATCATCCTCGGTAAAGTCTTTGTAATAATATTATTTACAAAATTTTGCAACTTACCTGGCATGACAACCATCTTGTTTCCAGCCTGCAAATGACGAAGTAGTGAGAAAATAATTTACAACAAATAATATCTAGATGAAGGTGCAGGGATCCCCTTTTCAGGCCAACTTAAGAGGTTACTTCATCCTTTGGTTTACTATCTTAAGGGGTATAAAATTTAAACCCTTGTTTTAGAAACTTAAAGGTTAAAAGTTAATATCTCATAATTTTTATAGTAAGATTTTTTGCTTGTCAACATTTAACTCACACGCACATTCACACATAGAGTGACCATGACTATGATTGAATGCTAACGATTTTTAATTAACTTAAGAAATAAATGAGTAATATTGACTAAAATTAGAGTTGTGTCCATTTAGGGGGGGGGGGGTGAGTGGTGGTGGTTGAGCAGTTGGGTCTATCAAAAATAAAATAAAGTTGACAAACCCAAAGGGGTCAATTCCGACTATAATACTCCAAGAAAAATAGACCTGGCACTCTATGAAATCTAAAAGTCAGGATCTCAGTGGGGGAAAAAATTGGGACTTGGTGAAAAAAACCGAGATCAACGACAAATCACTTAAGTCACTGCCAAGCCGACTTAAAAAATTCCGGGGCTGTCCATTATTATATCCGTGTACATTCCTTCTGCGCGCGCGCATGTGTGTGTGTGCGCACGCATATGTGTGTGTGTGTGTGTGTGTGTGTGTGTGTGTGCCCGCGTGCCTATGTGTTTTATCATTATTTCTTTTTTAATCCTGAAGTATCACGTCAAGCTCTCCTAGTCCAAGTGTTTAACGCGCCCCCCCCCTCCTCCTCCCCCCCGGATAAGTCCCGAAAGACGCTTAAACCAGTGTGCATGAACTTAAATTGACCCCATCAACGGACGGTCCCCGACATACGCGGAACTCTGAAGTCATGTCAGGTGGTGCGAACACGCGACTGAAACAGTTTTACTGACGGGTCTTGATGACGGGCCCGACTAACTATAACTTGGACAAAGCATGGTTTGGCGAAAGTAGATCTTGAAAATGCCTTAAGTTGGAATGCCAAATCAATACTACTTCCATTATAGTGGAAATAACATGTGTGAGCAAAGATCCAACACAACTTTTGGCGAGTCAACTACTAAATTTGACATAGACATTTTGAAAAATAGTGCTCCGAGTTTCTGCCAACAAAAGTTTAACGAGTGCTTCCCACTACAGAAATGAAGGCAGAGTAAGATTTTAGAAAAATCTGGCGCAACAACCCCCCCCCCCCCCCAAGAAAAAAAAAATTATCGGGAAACACCCGATCAAAATTCTCACGGCAGGTGTAAACTCAAGGCACGACACCGGCAAATGTGAGCGACCAGAATGTGGGTGGAGCTTCTGTGCAGAAGCCGGCCGTGTTGCTGGAAACTGCGCTCGGCTGATAAGTAGGTCGACTAGTCGACTTCTTCTGATACAGAAGGTGACTGTCATGCATATGTGTGTGTGTGTGTGTGTGTGTGTGTGTGTGTGTGTGTGTGTGTGTGTGTGTGTGCGTGTGTGTGTGTGTTGTCAAATCATTGACTCGGCTTCGAATTAGAGAAGGGGGGAAATGATGCTTGCCAGACGCACACCACCTACGTTTTAAAGCTTTTACAAACCTCCTAAATTAAATTATAAAGGGTAAATCTCATCCACAACCAAAACTTTAAGGAGGTAATCTGCAGGTTTAGTGCATAATATACGCACATTTGTGCGTAATGGGGAGCCCTGAGGTGGCTTGCATGATCTCAAATATAAATTCCATTATTGCTATGTTTTCTTGAGTTGAATTTTAACCTGATCTTTATATTTCCTTACTTTTTAATACTTAACAACAAGTGTTTAATGTACAGTGTGTATTGAACAATAGCTTACTAGCATAGTAAATTTATTGCATTACAACTTTTCATCTTTCATTCTTAAGATTCTGTTGTGGACAGTGTCTATCCTGACTACATTTGAACATAACATTTCTTTCAAAATTGAACAGGCTTACTCTTGGGAAAATTTTTCATTGAAAACAACAACAAATTTTAGAAGAATTCGACAGTAAAACTATCTTAATTACCTTTGATATCATTTCTCGCAGCACCTCAACTCCTTTATGAGCTGTAGCACATCCACCGCTTGAAAGAACGCGATCAAAGCCAAGAGTCATAATGTCATCAAGAGCCTTGAATATATCTTGGGTCATGTCAATGGCTGCAGAAATTGAAATAGCAAAGAGTCTAAACTGAGGATTAAACAGGTAGACGAAATAAGTACACATGTACACAAGAAGCATACATTATTAATATTACATGAACTAAAAAGATTCTCAACCCATGCTCAGTCCAACATGTAAATTATAGCACATAATATGCTGCTGAGTGCTGTGTTTTAGCATTTTTATTCTTTAAGATGAACTGATATTCGGAGGAGGAAATTTTTGGAGTTACATAGATATTCGATTTTTCTGACTTCATTTTACCTTAGGTTAAATTTCAAACAACTTTTTAAGGCATTTTCTATGAATTTGAAGTAACACTGATCAACAAATAATATTTGCAATCATATCGACGTACAACTAAAATAAAGGCTTGGCAGCTGCCTCATATCAAATGAAATATTGCTATTGGTGTATGTCACAAGTTGCCAAGCATAGGAAGATATCTTGAATATCTCCAGCTTCCGGTAGGGATGCATCTCACAGTGATGGGCAAGGCTGATGTAGCCTACCACCTAAAAGACCCAGACTGCACCAATGGGAGCATGAAATATTTACAAATTTTAAAACAACTCTGATGAAGAACCTCAGCAGGCCAGGGGTCAAATTTAAACATCAGAATACATGTATTCTTTTCTGCTCATGAAACACGGAAATGAAAATATGCTGAAATAAAGCAAAATAAGTATCTTCCTATGCATATTATGTTAATTCAAAGACAAAGTGAGTGGATTTTACTGAAAAATGTTGATCAAAGGCACAACAAATATTAATTAAAAATTTTGAAGGACACTCAGGCATTAGGCGTCAATAAACTTTGGTGACCATTTTATAGCTCATTTTACCTCTGAGACTGGACAACCACCACAATTGCAAATATCTCGACTTCTATTCAAGATGGATTGTTTTTTTGTTTTTTATCAAAATCAAAATCTGAACAAACTTTAAGATGATACCAAAAACTGATAATGAGCACCTGATTCTACTGTGGTAGTTGTGCCAAATAAAAAAATTATAAAAATTGCCCAAAGGGCGAAAAAATGCTGATTTTTTTAATGGGCACCTGATTTCACCATGATGCCACACATGTATTTCTAGATACAATCTTTGAAGTGATAGAGAGTGATTTATTCAAATGGAACGAAATTGAGGGTTATTTTTTAACAAAGATTTGATCATCCTTTCCAGGCCATGTTTTGGTTTGAGCAGGGAAGCAAAATTCACGAGTGACTCAAAAACTAAGAAAGGAAAGGTAGCGAGTAAAAGAATTGTTTGAATTTACTGAAACCATGGCCTTTAGTAGTCGACTAAGTGTGTCTTTCTAATTTCTGGTTTGGGTTTTCTAAAAGGGTGAGAGATGAGTGCAAAGACCTGTTTTGAATACAGATTTTATTACCTCTATGAAAAGTTGCTGGTAAGGGTCTTATAATATCTGAAAAAAAGTAAAAACAGAAGGGATTACAATTGTGATTAATTTCTGTGAAAATCAATGTTATATTAAAAAATGACTACAGGTGTATGCTACATTAAAAACAAGATCTTAAGGCAACACAGAGATTTTTTTTAAAAACAGTATTCATGCTTTAATCTATTTTGAGAGGTTTTATAGTTTTGTAGCTTGGCAGAGTCAAGTGGAAAGAGACGTGAAATTCTAATAACAAAATGTTGTTGTTGTTGTTTTCAAATCTCTTTAGCTGCGAGCATTTTGCTCTTGGCAGCGCAACGCCTCCCTCAAGTAACCACATGTCCTTGTCATCTGGTCAGTGCCAGAGTAGGCTTTGTAAGCCTGCAGGTTTGTTTAGGAGCCTGCGTCGAAGAACTGCCAGGTTTGGGCAGTGAAGTAGAAGATGTTCAACGGTCTCCTCGTGGTAGTCACAGTGTCTGCAATGGGGTTCCCACATGGGGTCAATTCTATTTATGTGCTTGTTGGTGTGTAAGTGTCCTGTGCGCGCTCTGAAGATCAAAGTCTGATCAGCTCTACATAAGAGATTTGATGGGTCTTTGGGGTTGGGTTTGTCCATGTACCCGAATAGAGGTTTTCTGCGTTGGCCCATCTGTTTAGCCACTCGTCTCTGCTTTTGGCTTGGACGATCCCTCTGCAGGCCTGTAAAGAGGCGCGGTGTCTGTCAGGGGCAGGCTTGCTCCAGTCTTTGATAGCTGGACTGCAGTCTCATTCCCTGGTACTCCAGAATGGCGAGGCACTCACTGCAGTGTGACCCAGACGCCATAGGTAGTGCTCATTTGTTTTACAAGGCTGAGAATGTTCCTGTCACCTCTGTAGTCTGTAGTCTCCTCCTCCCTTGATGGCTTGGAGTACTGACATTGAGTCAGAGAAGACAACAACATCCCCTGGTGTTACTGTGCCTTCAAAAAAGTCTTGGGTGATCTGCTCCAGGGTTTTTACTATGGCAACTCTCTCTGCGTCATAGTTGGAGCTGTATTTTCCACATGGGCCAAATAGTTGGGTCTGCTTCTTCTCTCCAAGGTTGTTTCGATATTTGATGATGGATCCGTATCCAGCATTCCGTGTAGCGTTTGTCGCTGACCCATCTGTGTATGCATGAATTGAGATTTCAGCATATGAGTCCACTGTGTCTAGGGCACTTTTTGAGGATTTTTTCTTCTGGTGTGGTCTTGTCACAAGAAGGGTCTAGAAGTCTCGTCCTTATTGTGATTTCTGGTGCCTGCCAGTAAGGAGGTTCGCTGCTGATGTTGGTGATTGGTTCTCTGTTCTCGGGTGGGTCAAACTCCTCAAGTAATTTTGTTGCTTCTCACATGAAGGAGGTCTTCTGGATGCGTGTTCTTGGTTCCCACTCATCTGCCATTTTTCTGTTTTCGTTCGTGTCTTCTAGTCGCACAAATCTTTCGTAGGTTTCGAGTGTAGCACTCTTTCTTCTGAGGTCCAGTGGTTCTATGTTGGTGTGGATTTCGCAGGCGCTTGTAGGCGTGGTCTTCATCTCACCAGAAACAAATCTGAGTGCTTGGTTCTGTACTCTGTCAAGCTGTGCCAAAGCGCTTTGGCTGGCTAAGGATTGTAGTGGTAGGGAGTAGTCAATCACAGATCTGACATACCCTATATAAAATTGTCGGAGGGTTGCTTTGTCAGCTCCCAAGTTGAGTGACGAAAGGTGTTTTACAAGGTTTAGTCTGGAGGTGGCTTTCTTGGTCAGCTCCCGTAAGTGCTCTTTGAGAGACAGCTTTCGGTCCAGTTGTACACCAAGGTACTTGGGACAGTCCTCATGTTTGATGTTGGTTCCATTGATCTTAAGGTTTACCTGTCCTGCTGTAACCTTGTTTTTGAGGCTGAAGAGTCCAAAAACCTAATAACAAAATAATGAAGGATAAAAATGTAAGGTACTAAATATCAGGATTAGATTTCACCAAATTGTATTCTTTGACAAGTATGATCCATTCAAAAATCAAGCAAATCTTATCTGCCTTCCATAAACATAAACAGGTCAAGCAGCCTGGAGGTAAGATTGCTAGTCATACCGTATCATACATTTTTAAATATTCCAAAGAGACTCGTAAAGCATAAATTAGTCCAATACATATCCATTTCCTTACAGCTCTTTAATTATTACCCAGGAGCTCCTTGCATCTTGGTGCATCCACTTCTCCATTTCTGTAACAAAAAAAACAACCAGAGTGATTCCAAAAATGTAGTGCACGTACAAGTAATATTCTGAGATCATTCATGACGTAAGAAAGTACAGTCCATGCCGGCTTTAAGCACTGTCATTGGGAGAAAGCATATGCGTGCTTTAGCGCGAAGTAGACAATGTCATAATCCAGAGAAAACTTCTTGTTTGTAAGTAGTGGTCGTGTAAAAGTGTGTGCTGTCATTTTTACCCCTCATGGTAGTTTTTGTTTGTTTGTTTGTTTGTTTTTTTTGGTGGTAGAATGGGAAAGGAAAACTTGATTTACATGGCCAGTCACGATACAGCACACTAGGCTTACACACTGCCTGTGCGTACAACTGCCAGCTGTGCCATATTCACACCACCACCTTCATCCAACCTGCTCATGCGGGATATATAATCAGGATTAATGGATAGTGAGGGGCAAAGGTGAAAGCGCAGCCAGCCTCCCTTTCTAGTCTTCCCAACTCTCTTTGTATTTTTTTCATCTGTGTGTAGCTTTGCCCTAGGCTAGATTCTATGTCCACGTGCGCTGCAGCATGCATCTCTCTGCCTTCCTCTCCGAGCGCGTGCGCATGTGAGTGTGTGTCTCCATCACTCGGGTTCTTTGTGTTTCTCTTAACACACAGCACTGCTGAGGCATAGACTGTGCTCGAACTTCGATGGGTCATCATGAAAGTATTGACTGTCTTGTAAATGAAGCGTGCCCGAAGCCGATAAGTTACCATGCTCAAAGGCGTGTAATTTATATAACAAAAATTCGGTAAGAGCCGTTTAGCGCGCTTGAGTCTGAAACGTGTTTTATGCCGGCGTATTTAAAGCCGGCATGGACTACAGGAGCTGTTAACTAGAACAGCACTATTTCACAGGGAGAAGAGTTAGCACATATTACTGCAAAACAAAATAACTAACTTGACAATAAGCAATGAAAAAAAACCTTTGTTGTATGACACAACAATTAAACACAGAGAGAATCATGGTTTGAGATCAAATTGGCAGAGAGGTGTAAAACAAGCAATTAGGAATCAGATAAAACGATTTTTATAACTTGTAAAGGAAAGGAAATACACAAATCCAAGACACACAGAGATGTATACTCAGTTAAAATTCCAAAGACAAATCCATCTGCTCCAGCTTTCTTCAAATGAATAATGTCCTGCTTCATAACTGCCAGCTCATCATCACTGAACAAAAAGTCTCCAGCTCTAGGACGAATCATTACAAATACTGGAATGTGAACAAGTTTCTTTATAACCGCTAGCATGCCTGAAAGGGAAAAAAATCAAACAAAGCAAAGTTAGACAATTTTACAGTTAAAACTAGTTCTTACTTTGCTAAAAATTAGAACAATGAGAGCATACAGAACATCCCTGATTTTAAGAGCTTAGATTTCAAGCAAACCCGATGAAATGCAATTAGTAGCGCAGCTAACAATGACATCTTTTCTTTTTTATCTTTCTCGAAAGTAAATATCTTCACAGAAAAGTTTGAACAATGGCTACAAAACTTTGTAAAGTGTCTCCAACTGGGAACAGATTAGAAATACAGCCAGAAACAACTTTCATTAAAAGCAGATTAACAGCTTATTAAATTTTTAAATGCCAGGCTGAAAGCAACTGCAATCATAATAAACACAGACAGGTTTTTCTTCTTCATATTTGCATAAAGATAGGGACAATGGAGGGGACTTATAAATGAAAGAATAACATGATTACAAGAAGTGAATATTTTTCTTAATGCACGAGTATAAAAAATGCTGGTGTTACCGATACTTGGAGTAGTCCCACCATCTGCCAAGCAAGCACATAATTCTAAGCGAATGGATCCTGAGGAAAACAAAGAAATGAACAGCAATTCATGAACAGACAAATATGAGGCGGCAGTGTGGTGAAATCAGGGGCTTTTCAAAATAATGAAATTGAAGAAATCTGCATTTTTCCGCAAGTTTGGCAATTTTTACTGAATCTTTGTTTAGGCTCAATTACACATAATTTTTCTGTGAATTTTACTGAACACTGTTGATTACGTTAAAAAAATGTACATTTTCAGCTTCCAAGCAAGACTCTCAAGCTATATGGAATTCACCAAACTTTGACAGCCATTTTCTAGCTAATTTTACCTCTGAAACCAAGTGAAACCCGCCTCATTCAACTGTGAATATTATCCTGACTTCTATTCATGATAGATGGATATTTTTTGTTTTTCGTTGAAAGCAAGTAAAATGAACAAGCTCTAAGATGATATATCAATAACTCCACACATGCCGAAAAATTGACGAGCATCTGAATCCATTGCGTTGTGACACATAAAGTTTTAAAATCTAACAAAGAAATACTTCTGGCACTTCTGTTACCACTGATCGAATTGTCATAGACACTTAAAATATGCTGTCACTTAATCATTGCTCTAAATTCCCAATCAAGAAACAAAATGCAAGAAAAAGTATTTACTAAAATGATAGCTCAGCATGGTCACTGCCAAAGAACTCGCGTGTAAAGTAATAAGACCAGGGGCGGTTTGTTAACTCGGCAAGACCGGCGGTGTGGGTCAAATTTTTGTCAACTCTACTGTTGACAAGTGATTTATAATTTATTGCTGCTGATGATTTTCCTTCAGTTTTAAGTAAATCCGAATAAAATAAACATGTATCACCATTCAAAAAGCACCTAGCCGATTTGAAGGCGTTCAAATAGACAAGTGAGATTCACTGGCTATTTTGTCGCGACAGAGCCTCATTCCTTCACCTTTGTTTACTGCACCGGCTCGTAACTTTTAAATCGTGTCCCGTCAGGCCGCCACAAAAAGAAAGAAATGTTTCTAAAAACGAAGTGACTATTCGGACTCGAGTCCGAATATGAAAAAATGTTATTCAGACTCTGATTCTAGTCCAACATGACATCACTTCCGACTTACGACTTCCTGAGACTCGTGACTCTGGCTTCCTGTCCTGCCTCACTCGTGACTGGCCTCAGGCTGGGTAGAGACCGGGATCACTTCGGGCAAAATGGCGTTTTATGCAGGGGGCCGAGTTTTTATCTTACGATGAATTTGAGGCCGGCCTGAAAAGTTATAGCGCTTCTAATAAATGTTTATTTGTCAAGAGGTCACCAGAA